CAGAGACATTGATGCTAGTCTTGTGTATCTATAGACTAACTAACCCTAGTGGCGACAGAGACATTGATGCTAGTCTTGTGTATCTATAGACTACTAAACTAGTGGTGACAGAGACATTGATGGCGACTAACTAGTCTGATAACTCTAGTGGCGACAGCCTGTGTATCTATAGACTAACTAACCCTAGTGGCGACAGAGACATTGATGCTAGTCTTGTGTATCTATAGACTAACTAACCCTAGTGGCGACAGAGACATTGATGCTAGTCTTGTGTATCTATAGACTAACTAACCCTAGTGGCGACAGAGACATTGATGCTAGTCTTGTGTATCTATAGACTAACTAACCCTAGTGGCGACAGAGACATTGATGCTAGTCTTGTGTATCTATAGACTAACTGACTAACAACCTAGTGGCGACAGAGACATTGATGCTAGCCTTGTGTATCTATAGACTAACTGACCCTAGTGGCGACAGAGACATTGATGCTAGACTAACTGACCCTTGTGTATCTATAGACTAACTAACTCTAGTGGCGACAGAGGCATTGATGCTAGTCTTGTGTATCTATAGACTAATTAACCCTAGTGGCGACAGAGACATTGATGCTAGCCTTGTGTATCTATAGAATAACAGACCCTAGTGGCGACAGAGACATTGATGCTAGTCTTGTGTATCTATAGACTAACTAACCCTAGTGGCGACAGAGACATTGATGCTAGCCTTGTGTATCTATAGACTAACTAACCCTAGTGGCGACAGAGACATTGATGCTAGCCTTGTGTATCTATAGACTAACTAACCCTAGTGGCGACAGAGACATTTATGCTAGACCATAGTGGCGACTTGTGTATCTGATGCTAGACTAACTGACCCTAGTGGCGACAGAGACATTGATGCTAGTCTTGTGTATCTATAGACTAACTAACCCTAGTGGCGACAGAGACATTGATGCTAGTCTTGTGTATCTATAGACTAACTGACTCTAGTGGCGACAGAGACATTGATGCTAGCCTTGTGTATCTGTAGACTAACTGACCCTAGTGGCGACAGAGACATTGATGCTAGTCTTGTGTATCTGTAGACTAACTGACCCTAGTGGCGACAGAGACATTGATGCTAGTCTGGTGTATCTGTAGACTAACTGACCCTAGTGGTGACAGAGACATTGATGCTAGTCTGGTGTATCTGTAGACTAACTGACCCTAGTGGTGACAGAGACATTGATGCTAGTCTGATTTATCTGTAGACTAACTGACCCTAGTGGTGACAGAAACATTGATGCTAGTCTGGGTTATCTGTAAACTAACTGACCCTAGTGGTGACAGAGACATTGATGCTAGTCTGGGTTATCTGTAGACTAACTGACCCTAGTGGTGACACAGACATTGATGCTAGTCTGGGTTATCTGTAGACTAACTGACCCTAGTGGTGACAGAAACATTGATGCTAGTCTGGGTTATCTGTTTACTAACTGACCCTAGTGGTGACAGAGACATTGATGCTAGTCTGGGATATCTGTAGACTAACTGACCCTAGTGGTGACAGAGACATTGATGCTAGCCTAGGTTATCTGTAGACTAACTGACACTAAGTGGCTAATGGGCCGACATGGCGCCAGTCGCCTATATTTCTCCAGATATTACCTAGTACCAATTTTAGGCTGTGTCTGTATGAGATTATGGGTCTCTCTATTGCGGATTTTTTTTTTTTTTTTTTTTTTTTTTTTTTTTTTTTTTTTTTTTTGTTATTTTTTTTAAAATGCATACTATAGTTTTTCTTCGAAAACTTCAGATTCTTAAAGAGCTGGTGTTACCCTAAGTCATAATTTCACTTTCATCATAACCGGTCCATCAGTAGTGTGATATTTCATGAGAATCAATCTTTTACTGGTGTGGTATTTCATGAGAACTGGTCCATCATTGGTGTGATATTTCATGAGAACCAGTCCATCATTGGTGTGGTATTTTATGAGAACTGGTCCATCAGTGATGTGGTATTTCATGAGAACTGGTCCATCACCTGTGTAGTATTTCATGAGAACTGATCCATCATTGGTGTGGTATTCTATAATAACCGGTCCATCATTGGTGAGGTATTTTATGAGAACCAGTTCATCACTGGTGTGGTATTTTATGAGAACCAGTTCATCACTGGTGTGGTATTTTATGAGAACCAGTTCATCACTGGTGTGGTATTTCATGAGAACTGGTCCATCATTGGTGTGGTATTTCATGAGAACTGGTCCATCATTGGTGTGATATTTCATGAGAACCAGTCCATCATTGGTGTGGTATTTTATAAGAACCGGTCCATCATTGGTGTGGTATTTTATAAGAACCGGTCCATCATTGGTGTGGTATTTTATGAGAACCAGTTCATCACTGGTGTGGTATTTTATGAGAACCAGTTCATCACTGGTGTGGTATTTTATGAGAACCAGTTCATCACTGGTGTGGTATTTCATGAGAACAAGGTCCATCATTTGTGTGGTATTTCATGAATACCGGTCCATCACTGGTGTGGTATTTTATGCTAACCGGTCCATCATTGGTGTGATATTTCATGAGAACTGGTCCATCATTGGTGTGGTATTTCATGAGAACCGGTCCATCATTGGTGTGGTATTTCACGGGAACCTGTCCATCATTGGTGTGGTATTTCATGAGAACCGGTCCATCATTGGTGTGGTATTTCACGGGAACCTGTCCATCATTGGTGTGGTATTTCATGAGAACTGGTCCTTCATTGGTGTGGTATTTCACGGGAACCGGTCCATCATTGGTGTGGTATTTCATGAGAACTGGTCCATCAGTGGTGTGGTATTTCATGAGAACCGGTCCATCATTGGTGTGGTATTTCATGAGAACTAGACCATCAGTGGTGTTGTATTTCATGAGAACCGGTCCATCATTGGTGTGGCATTTCATGAGAACTAGTCCAATGGTGGTGCAGTTATTCATAAGAATCGGTCCATCACTGGTGTGATATTTCATGAGAACCGTTCCATCAGTGGTGTGGTATTTCATGAGGACCGTTCCATCAGTGGTGTGGTATTTCACGAGGACCGTTTCATCAGTGGTGTGGTATTTCATGAAGACCGTTCCATCATTGATGTGATATTTCATGAGAACTAGTCCATCACTGGTGTGATATTTCATGACGACAGTTGCAAGAAAAATTTCAGCAAAATCAGTCAATATATATTGCTGTTGCTGATCTTACTATGCCAATTGATTTAGTTTGTCGTAGAGGTCTGTTCAACTCGCTCGAGAAGAGTGATGTGTCTAGCTACACCACAGAGCGTTATTGAGTTATTCTGTGGGGTAGCTCGGGGGATTTTGCAGCCAAGGACAGAATAAGCAAGACTATGTACTTGACTCTCTGTAGGCGGGACAAAAGGTCCCATTGATAGCTGTCCACATGCAGATAAGGAGAATCGTATATTCACATATTCTGTCAGCCATTGCCGGTCCCACGCCCGGATGAGAAAAGAAAAGGGTTTGGGCCTGAAACCAGCTCTCTCACTCTGTAAAAATATTAATTGCTATGGAAACGTGCAGGAAAGGAAGCCATTCCGCTCAAGAAACGAGTCACGTGCCGTCATGTGTAGAGAGCGCGTGTTTGGCGGTTACTGATGAAAGCGGGTCTGCACTAGTCACCGGCCAGACATGCACACTAATCGACTCAAACATAATCACTAGATTCGTTTTTTTGGGGGGAGGGGGAGGAGGGATCTGAGAAAAATGGCGCAAGCAACATTATAAGGCCAGGTAATTGAAATATAAATGAGAAAAGAATGTGGTGTGAGAGGTCACAGAAGGACTGAGTCGCACAGCATGATGATAAGTAACACCTGCTTAAACACCATCCTCGAAGATTGCGCACTTGGAAAAGTACCAGGCTGTTTTGGTGGCCATGTTTCAGCTATACGGAACCCAATTTTTTGTAAGATATTCAATTTGGCAACTGTTGCATGCATGGGTGAGGTGTTAATCATTCATCTCTAGACACTTAGCTAGATATGCTGTTCCTAACCCCCAAGAGGGGGTGTAAAACAGTAAATTCTTACAAACATGCGTTTCATCCTATGTATACACATGTTACAACTTTCATACAAAGATTACAACGTATAAACTTGTTGCAGATTGCACACAAATATTACAGCTTACATACGTGTCTTACAATTTACGAACAAATGATACAACACCCACATGACAACTTACCTGCATGATACAACACCCACATGACAACTTACCTGCATGATACAACACCCACATGGCAACTTACCTGCATGATTCAACACCCACATGACAACTTACCTGCATGATACAACACCCACATGACAACTTACCTGCATGATACAACACTCACATGACAACTTACCTGCATGATACAACACTCACATGACAACTTACTTACATGATACAACACCCACATGACAACTTACCTGGATGATACAACACTCACATGACAACTTACCTACATGATACAACACCCACATGTCAACTTACCTACATGATACAACACCCACATGACAAATTACCTGCATGATGCAACACCCACATGACAACTTACCTGCATGATACAACACTCACATGACAACTTACCTGCATGATACAACACTCACATGACAACTTACTTACATGATACAACACCCACATGACAACTTACCTGCATGATACAACACTCACATGACAACTTACCTACATGATACAACACCCACATGACAACTTACCTACATGATACAACACCCACATGACAAATTACCTGCATGATTCAACACCCACATGACAACTTACCTGCATGATACAACACCCACATGACAACTTACCTGCATGATATAACACTCACATGACAACTTACCTGCATGATACAACACCCACATGACAACTTACCTGCATGATACAACACGCACATGACAACTTACCTGCATGAGGCGTGTGGGTATCTGTCACAACTTACCTACATAAGGCCTGTGGGTATCTGTCACAACTTACCTACATAAGGCCTGTGGGTATCTGTCACACCCGGCATTTTCACACGGTGACACAAAGCAGGCAAACTCTTCCACACCTGGTGGACAATTACCTGTAGACAGACAGGACATGTCGAGTTGTTGACAACATTACGTAACACGTATGTGTGTGTGTGTGTGTATGAGTGGGTGTCTTTGTGTATGTGTGCGTTTGGTTCACATATTTGCTGTTTTCATAGTGACACTGATAGCAACATGCGAGGATATATGGAGGATGAAGACGCAGCTGGAGTGAAGGATATGGATGGACACAGGACGATGGAGGAGTAAAGAGTATGGATGGCATATGACGCTGGAGTAGTAAAGAGTATGGATAGACCACGGCCAGCTCCAGATTTATAACGCCGTACAGCTCGAACGGGAATTCCCGTTCTTGTGCAGGAATGGAGTCCCTCTGTGTCCACAGTTTTTATCGAGGAGATGTATACGCAAATTAAACTACAGTTTCATTAATTTTCGACATATTTTTAGAACTATACGTCATTTTTAAGGTAAATAAGTGTGCCAATTAAATATAACAATAAAGGCTCTTACAGACAAACAAAAATGCTTTTGCTACAGTCAACATGAGCATAAACATCAATAACGTTTAGATGTAAACTAAAAGTTGTTCCAGCAAAAGTAAATAAATATCAGTGCTAACTTTCTGATTCTGAGAGGGTATTGTTGCATCAGAGAAGCGGGGGAGGGGAGAGGGGAGGGGAGGGGTGACATTTTTACTTTATCAAATTTAGCGAATAAAAATACTGCTATGAAACATACACATATCATACATAACATAAATATAAATGATTGATGGTTATTATTATTATTAGTAGACTACTACAACATATAATTATACTGTTATTTAATAACTAGTAAACAAGCAGAATCAGTATGAAATTTTATATGTGCAATACTTTTTTCACCCAGAGTAGTTTTCTTAACAGTACTTATAGCACTACTAAATATGTATCCTCAAGGTATAAACAGCACAAACAAATTTGTCCAGTTTCATCTTGTTGGATGAAATCAATTCCTTATCATTGCTAATTTTTTGGTAACAAATGTGCATAGGAAGTGGATGAACAACCAGAAGTTTCCGCAAGAGTTTACAGCCAGTGTTTGCGAAGCAAAGCAAAAGCCAGTTTACAAAAATTAACACAGGCCATACAACTGCAAATACACAAAAGAAGTCAATGAGCAACCATAAGTTTCCGCAAGAGTTTACAGCCAGTTTTCGCAAAGCAAAGCAAAAGCCAGCTTACAAAAATTAACACAGACCGTAGAGCTGCAAATATGCAAAAGAAGTAGATGAACTACAAAAAGTTTCTGCAAGAGTTTACAGGCAGTGTTCGCGAAGCAAAGCAAAAGCCAGTTTACATAAGTCAAATGGTTAAGGATTAAAATAATTAGTGTACTGCTACAACATATATTTATTCTGTTAGTCAACAATTAGTAAAGAGGCAAAGAATGACTTGCTGTGAGAGGTTAGTTAGTAAATTAAATATTATTTTCATCCACTTATCTAAAGCTCCGAAATATCTTGACACAATTCATCAACAGTGTGGTTGTACCAATTATGCACAGTCAATATGAAAGCAATAGTTTTCTTCAAACACAAGATAGTTTGAACCTGACAGCTGTCGATATTCTCCAGATATGGCTTCTAAATTACCTGTTTGTATTACCCCTAAAAGTAAGATTTCGACATTTAAAGTAGAAAGGTAATAAACAGCCAGTTCCCAAAAATCCGAACTACTGACTAGAAACAGTGACACTGACACACACATCACAACACGACTGTCTTCCGTGAATTAAAATTAAAATTGCTGTATATCGACTTCACAATATCCATTTATAGATTTGTAATACGAATACATACAGCCGGACGTGGGATGGACACATAACACAGGAGAAAAGGATCAGGATGGACACATGACGCAGGAGAAAAGGATCAGGATGGACACATGACGCAGGAGAAAAGGATCAGGATGGACACATGACGCAGGAGAAAAGGATCAGGATGGACACGAGACAAAGGAGTTCGGGATCATGATAGACACATGACGCAGGGTATATAGGGCTGGACCTTCTTTATAGACCAATCAGCACAAGATGGGTGATGTGGTCAGCCTCACACCGGCCGCCTTTACTTTCCGGGACTGCACCCAGTACCCACTCAGGGCTTGGTCGACCTCGGAGCTAAGGTCATTTTTTGAAAATAATCCGGCTTCTTCCGGAAACGACCCCATTACCTCCCGATCCTCGGCGAGCGTAAACAAAGAAAGAAAAAAAGATGAGAAATTCAGGGATTACATATTCATTTGGAGATATGCTAATGTAACAAACGTCAAGAGACAAGACTTACTGCTGGCTTGTACCATCGACACGGCCAGGCTTGCGAGCACTGTAAGCTTCAGTAGGCACATGACAGACATGTTGACACGCTTCACTGGATCAGCCAACCTGTCTGTAACGAACAATTGTGTGGTATTGAGCAAGAAACTTTTAGTCGAAGACTTGACACTGGTTTTTATAAAGACACTCTAAAGGAGACGAAGACTTGATGTATGTGGTTTGATCAGGACAATCTAGCAGGCAAAGACTTGATGTATGTGGTTTGATCAGGACAATCTAGCAGGCAAAGACTTGATCTATGTGGTTTGATCAGGACAATCTAGCAGGTGACGACTTGATCTATGTGGTTTGATGATGAAACTTCTTTTATATAAGAGCTAGCTCCCCAGCTGTCACACGAGATCACGTGATCAGTCCATACCAGTATGCACAGATGTTAAGACCCGACCCTAACCGCTCACGCTGGCTGCTCACGGAGATTGCCGAGTTGACACACACGCTGGTCGAGTGGATGACTGTCACAGGCTGGTCGAGTGGATGACTCTATCACAAGCTGGTCGAGTGGATGACTCTACCACAAGCTGGTCGAGTTGGTGACTCTGCCACAAGCTAGTCGAGCGGATGACTCTGCCACAAGCTGGTCGAGTGGATGACTCTGCCACAAGCTGGTCGAGTGGATGACTCTGCCATTTGTTTAAATTCCTTTTGCTTCAGGATTTATTATCACCTGGCCTTAGCATTGTCTCTGGTTGTCATTACATCCACGTTTACAGATAATTATAACAGTTCCCAAGTTTGCAGTACTTTCTCTCATTCTTCACTTTGCCTTTGCTTCCAACAGTACATTTGTAATATAAAAGTGGTGTTCTAGAAGCTGTCTATCCCTCTCTCTGTCTCTCTCTCGATTTCCCTCACTCTTTATCTGTCTCGTTCTCTCTCTCACTCTTTCTCACTCTTTCTCTCTCGTTCTCCCTCTCTGGCTTTTTTCACTCTCACTCGCTCTTTTTAACTTTTTCTCACCTTTTCTCTCTCACTCTGTTTCACATTCTCTCCCTCTCTCTCTCACTCTCCCTTGCTCTCTCTCTCTCTCTCTCTCTCTCTCTCTCTCTCTCGCTTTATCTCTCTTGATTTCTCGAGAAATGTATGTCTGTGTATGCGTTTGTGTGTCTGCGTGTATCTGTACGTGTGCCTGTGTGTGTATAAATGCCTGCGTATGCTTCTGCGTGTGTGTGTCTCTGTGGTTGTGTGTGTGTGTGTCAGCGTGAGCATTAGCGTGTGTGTGTGTCTGCGATTGTGTGTGTGTCTCCGAGTGTATCTGTGTGTGTTTGTGTCTGCGTGTGTTTGTGCATATGTGTCTGTGTGTGTCTGCGGGTGTCTGCGTGTGTGTGTGTGTATGCCGGTTTGTGTGTGCGTGGGTCGCATGTGAGTGTGTGTATCTGCGTGTGTGATTGGGTATGTGCGTGTATGTCTGTTTCTATGGGTGTGTCTGTGTGTTTATATCTGTATGTTTGTGTGTGTGTGGAATGTGTGTGTCTGTGTGGGTATGTAGGTAGGTATGCGGGTGAATGGGGTATGTCTATGTGTGTGTGAAGGTATGTGGGTCTATTTTAGTGAGTGGGTGGATGGATGTGCGTATGTGCATGCATTTTATCACCGATGCTTTTTGTGCTTTTCTTTTATTTTTGTTTTTTTTCTTTTTCTTTTTTGATATTCATAATATGCAAATTTGTGACACAGTCGTGGTCTTTACATTCCCCAAGTATGGATGTGCCTAATTCGGCCAAGGTGTCTGGATACAGTTCGTAGCTCTCTTGAATGTACTCAAGAACAAGGCCAGTGGTGTAACAATTACACAGCAGTTTATTTATTAATAATATTATCAAGTCAAACAGAATGAATCATTTCAATAACCAATAGTATAGGAACACTTCATTATCTTATTACTGGCTATTCGTATGTCTCTCTGTGCAGTTCCTTAATCTCTCTCTTAGCTAAACTCCATGTTTAATGTATATCTTCTAAACGAAGTACAGCTGTAGTTTTCCCAACTGGTCTCTCAAGCGGTCCAGTCCTAACTGTCATTCTGCTCCCTCAAACCCCTGGCTCCTTGCTGACCTCCCCTCGCTTTTTTGGTGGTCACGTTTGGATAAACGTATCTCTTCAACTGGTCACAGTGCATCTGGTTTTATCTGTATCGTTTGTCGGCCAGCTTTCTAATCACTGTTTTCTGTCATGCCAACGAGTGACGGATAGGCGTGCTTTTATGCTGATCTGAGATGTATGCTTTGTTCATTTAACCCCTTTCTGCCTATATTAAATTACATTCGCCCCCTACTTTTTTTAAAAATGCTTTTTATCTGCATTTTAATCTCTACAAACTACTCTAATTATACCCGCTACCTAACTAGACCTTATATGAACATCTAGCCCCGTAATGAAAGCATACATCATAACATGTAACATAATAGAATTCATGCAGTATAAGGAAAACGTGACTTTCATACAATAACTAATAGTCAATCATTCGAAAGACGTAAAATAAACGATACAATTTCCTCGCATAACAACCTATGATTCACTGGTTACCCTAATGAATGTGCGGAGTTGTCTGAAGTATAAAGGAATAGTATTTGTATTCCCACTTTATAAATTCAAACCT